AAACCTGGTAACCACTGATCTTTTTTATTATCTCCATAGTTTTGTCTTTTTCAGAATTCATATAATTAGAATCACACAGTATGTAGCCGTTTTAAATTGGCTTCTTTCACTCAGTAATATACATTTAAAATTCCTTCACATCTGTTCATGGCTTGATAGCTAAATTTTTTAGTGTTGAATACTATCCTGTTGTCTGGATGTACCACAGTTTATCCATTCACCTACTAATGGACATCTTGGCTGCTTCCAAGTTTTGGCAATTATGAATAATGTTGCTATAAACATCCTTGTGCAGGTTTTGGTGTGCACGTAAGTTTTCACCTCCTTTGGGTAAGTACCAAGGAGCACAATTGCTGGGTCATATGGTGAGTATGTTTAATTTTATAAGAAACCACAGTCTTCCAAAGTAGCTGTGGCATTTTGCCTTTCTACTAGTTAGAAATGAGAGTTCCTGTTGCCCTACATTCTGGTCTGCCCTGGGTGTTGTCTGTCCAGATTTTAGCCATTCTAAGAGGTGGGTAGTGGTAACCCTTTTTTTTTTCCCCACCAAGAATTCCCTTCATGAGTATCACTTTTTATAGATGTATAGTATTCCAACATAGGGAATTAATAAGCACAAAGTATTTGACCTATCTCTTATTATCTGTTTAGATTTTTTTCTAATATTCGCTATTTCAATAACACTTTGGTGAACGTTTTTGTACATAAATCTTTATTGACATCTGATTTTTTATTTCCCTTGGATATATTCTTAAACGTGGAAATGAGTCAAAAGAGTACAAACATTTTTAAGACTCCCTGGGAAGGTCCTATCAACAGTGTGAGGCACTCCCTTGCTAGCAACAAGTATTACCAGTTGTTTTAAATGTTTGCCAAATCAGTTGGTTAAAAAATTATCTCAACCTGCAGATCTTTGATTACTTAAGTTTAATGTGCAGTACAGGTATTTCATGCTTCTTAGCCACTTGTATTTCCCAGTGAGTTGTCTGTTAGTGTCATTTTCCGGGCAGACTTTGTTAATAGTGGCCCCAATAATCCCAGAGTTGTCTGTAGATGATGCCAAACCTTATGTTTAGCCACATCTGATACAAAGCTAGGCTCCGGCAGGATTAGAAACAGTCCATGTCAGCACTGCTGTTTCAATGAAACCAGAAGGGGGAAAGTTTTCGTGTTTTACTGGAATCTGGGAGATGAAGTTATTTTGCTGAGCCACATCCATTATATTATTATGCCTTTTTTTCTTACTCCCAAAGCTTCTCTTTTCTCCAATTCTGCTCTTGCAGGAGGGCTGAATTTGGTGTATATGTATACTTTCTTTCAGTATGTGTTCATCAACCTCCTACTACGTGCTGCACAGTGGACACATTAAGAGACTGAGGGTGTAGAGAACAGCTGGGTTTTGAAGTTGGGCAGATCTTGGGCAAGTCCCTTAGCCTTTCAGAGGCTCAGATTCCTCTTCTTTCACGTATAGGTGATAGTCCTCTCTTTGGGGAATAATTGTGTTATGAATGGAAAACTGGAACAGTGTCTGCCCCATAAGATTCCAGTTAGCTCAATAAATAATTATTGAGCCACTTCTGTGGCTAGGTGTTGAGTATACACAGAGGAATCAGATGGGGCCCTTTCTAGTATCTGCTTTGCCTATGTGAGAAAGTTCAGGCTGTTCAGGGGCTCAGGCAAGGCCCTCCCTGACCCCTGCTGTTCTGTGGCCCCTCATTGAGTCCTGAGCCCCAGGTGTCTGGGTGGGTTGACAGCGCTCTTTAGAGCCCTGGGCTTTAGCTGCAATTCTGGAGCAACAGGAAAAGTGCGTCAATGCTCTTTTACAGAGAGTCACGACTATAATTTTTATTTTCTCTTTTCTTCTTATCATCATATCATAAACATTTTCCCTTTATAGCACAGTTGTTAAGAGAACCACTAGAGCCAGCCATCCTTACTAAGTGACCTTGGGCAAGTGGCTTAACCTTTCTGTGCCCTAGTTTCCTTATCTGTGAAATAGGGGTAATAATAGTTCCTACTTCCTAGGTTCTTAGAATTAAAAAAAATATTTCATGTGTAGTTCTTAGTATAATGTCTAGCACCTAGTAAGAGATCAATGATCTAGTATTACTAGTTGTTATATTGTCTTCTTAGCCACCCTTACAATGACTTTATATGATTAAATTGAATAGATATAATTCTGTTCTCTGATGTTGGATATTTAAGGTGTTTCTGATTTTAAAACACAAAGTAATTAGTATTAGTAAAGTATTATCCCTAAGAAATTTTTAAAATGTCATCTTGTGGTTTAGAGATAAAGGCAGAGCAAGAAATTTAAGAATTAAATGTTGAATGAATAGCATTAATACACTTAGGTTGCCTTTCAAAAAAATTAAACATTTCTACACATATTACAGGGTAATTAACCCAACTTGGAAGCATGGATGATCCTGGTCTGAGGCACAGAGCTGGCCTGGATCACTTTGGCAAGGTCTTCTAGTCTTTCTCCAGGCAAAGAAGCTGCATCAGCTCTTCTCTCCTTCTGCCAGAGAATCTCTGATATAGTACAGCTGAAGGTCAACCCAGCATTTTCAGCTATCACTTTGGGATATACGGGAGGGCAACTGTCAAGCCATGTCACCTGATGGGGAAGTTACAGGACAGAGGTTTCTTTTCAGCGAGCAAGGCTCAAAGTTAGCACTGGTGTAAACGAAAGAGGAAATTACGCAGACCTAGCACCTTCCATGGGCCACACTCTGTAAAAACATTTTCTACCATCCTTAGCTCAACTAAGACAGAATTTATTGGTCCCATTTTATAGATGAGGAAACTGAGGCTCAGAGAGGTGCAAAGTTTCTTCCAAGGTTACACAGCTGGCAGAGTCATGACCCAGATCTGTCTGACTCTAAAGATACAAGCTCTTCCCAAGGCACACTGGGTTTCTTTTCAGTTTAATTCAACTTAACCATCACGGGTTAGCACTCACATCCATGTATTACCCTCGCTAGGCTGAGAACAGAGAGAACCACCTAATGAAAGCGACAGACCTGAATCACAAGTTCCAGTAGTTTTAGTAGCAGGCAGATGCATGCCTGTGAGAAGTAACAAAGCCGTGTGGGCAGTTTAATTTTTCCTGTTGTGTATGTTTCTGAAAGCCATCCTTAATCCTTTCAGGAAGAGGCAGGGGAGAGAGATTGATAGATCAGGGTTGTAATCAGTGACTTAAAGGACGGCGGGGAAATAGGGATGGAGAGATTAATCCCCACTCAGAGGCCCAGGAAAGTCTTAGGGGACATGGTATCTTGGTTGGGGCGTGAGGAGGAGAGCGAATCAGCAACAGAATATTGGGAAGGGGCACGATCTGTCACCGCACGCACGCAGGCCCACAAAGATGTGCGTGCCTCCGCGCCCGAGCACGCACCCGTCCCCTCCCCGCTCCTCCTCGGGCAGGTGAACGGATGCACCTTTTTCATTAGCACAGACGCCGGCTCGCGCGCACGCCTCGCCCTGCCCGCCTGCTCGGGGCCGCTGACTACGGGCAGCCGCGCACAAAGGCGAGCGGCGCGCAGCGGGCG